CAATATATGATTTAAAATGCAATTAATGAATTAAAGACCCTTATGAATTAGAAAATGATGGCTATATGGCATCTGTTACGGTACTTACAATCTACTACTTCTAGGCACTGTGCTGTTTTACCAAGGACACAAGGGCATGTAACGGTGTCTCTAAAGTCAATACCGCCACCTAAGGGTCAACAGCAATTGATACTCTTTTCCTACAATATTCAAACATGTTTATTTACAAATGGTAATTAATACCTCACATTTTGAGAAATATAGATCTCTGGGATTACTAGTTATGTGGAACATAACTAGCTGAGTTAATTTGGTGTCAAAGAGTCACAAGATACTGACATTTAGGAAAGACAATTGAAATGAAAACCCAGACTTTTACTAATACAACTGCTACAATAAAATGAATACTTGTCAGATTCTATTCCTCAAACATTTTAGAAAACAGCCTGTTTCTTAATCTAATTGAATGAGATTGCCTGGAAAATTATTTCTGTTTCCATTTCATGCAGCAGATGAACAGTTAACTCAGCTAGCTATGTTCCCCATTAACATGTATACATTGCTGAAACAGCGACGTCTATGTTGGCTTGGACATGTTGTGAGAATGGCTGATGGTCGGATTCCAAAAGATCTCCTGTATGGAGAATTAGTGTAGAGAAATCGCCCCAGACACCACAGCTGCAATACAAGGATATCTGCAAGCAGGATCTGAAGGCCTTAAGAATGGACCTAAACAGATGGGAAACCTTGACATCTGACCATTCAACCTGGAGGCAGGCACTGCATCATGACCTCTCCCAATTTGAAGAGACACTTGTCCAGCAGGCCAAGGCAAAGAGGCAGTCCTGGAAGCAGCAAAAACAGGAAGCTGAACAGGGGACAGATTGTATTTGTCTTCAGCGTGGAAGGGATTGTCACTCTTGAATTGGCCTTCTCAGCCACACTACACACTGTTCCAAGACTTCTATTCAGAGCACGTTACCATAGTTTCTCGAGACTGAAGGATGCCTACTGATGTTCCCCAAAACTAGTAATCCCAGAGACTTATTCAAATTCTAAGGGGGGAAAAGGTTTAAATAAAGCCTTCTCATCTTCCCGTTATTTTACAGAAGCCAACTATTGAAGCCAGAATTATTGCATAAGATTATGATAAGGGGTGGTACACTGAGTCTGGGGGTTAATTTAGTGTCCTTGTGATCAACTGGTGACCCAGTTGTGGGCGATTTGTTGTAAGACTAGAGGACAGTGCTTAGAACTAATTACTGGGCATGGGACTTTTGCTTTAGCTCCCACAATTCACCAGGAATTCCACCAGTCAGAATTCTGAGGCCTTAGGCTCAATATACCCTGCATGCATGGCACTTAAACCATTCACTTTCTCTTTCTTCCTCATAGGCAGACAGTGGCCGAATAAAGCCTTCAATGTCCACCTGTATTTAACTGAAAACTCCTGTGTGGACTTGACTTTACTGTATTGGCTAAAAACCCCAGATATAAAATGTGACAAAAATTAAAAGGAGAAAATGGTGTAACACTAAGCTAAAATGTCAACGTATCCAAATACAAATGTCACATTCTCAAAGACTTAAACAGACTTACTTTATATTACAATTCTAAACATTCCCCTTAATTTAAAAAACTGTTTAAACAAGAATGGAAATGGCAGGTACTTTCTCCACTAATTGAGTCTATGTAATTATTCTGCTAAATGGTCCATTGGAGAAATTTAACCTTAAGTCTGAAACAGACTGATAAATCATTATGTGATCAACATAGTTTCCTTGTGACTGGAAATGAGTTATTTTCTGACAATATCTTGGCAACCGCCAAGCTAAAAAAAAATCATAGTTTTCACAACACATCTATATCAAACCAGTACATTTTTCAAGTGCACACAATTCTTTGTCACATGCACGTAAGTAGGTGCCAAGCTTGAAAGAGTACACAGCATCAATACAAAGAAGTAGGGTGGATAAAAGCAAATGATTTTACAATCATTTTTTAAAATTTAAATTGTCAAAAATCTAGTTCTTAGAATTTAAATCACAATTTAAATCTATCTGATTTAAACCAAATCCACTCTGCAGGGAGGAACCAACAGGGCAGCAATGGAAATCTCTATCTACACAACAGAATACCAGAAAGGTGATGAGCATTGTTTTGTTTCATTCTCAGAATGATCAAAGCTAACCCAGCTTTACAATTCTGCCATCACAGAAAAAGGAAGATGCTAAATTGAAGTCAATGGGTTATCTTTCAAAAGCAAATATGTTTTTGGCAGAGGCAAGGATGGAACAGTTTCATTCCAAACTACTTTACAATGCGAGCTCAAAACCAAGGAACTCCTTCTACATAACCAGCGATGTAGTCGTAGGTATACTCTGATTATTCCTACTCTTTTGGCAGTGGAGGAGCAGCCAAGTGAAAGATTCCACTTTTAAATACAATGTAGCCTCCTCACTGTGTCTAAATTGAAGATGTGGTTTATTATCCAAATTGTGATTAGTTCATTTAGTTAATTAGTTAAACTAGGATATTAAACTAAGACCTGACTGTTAAGCTTATGAATCTGAATTAGCCATAATTTCCTCAAGTAGAAGACCACAGGAAACTATAGTTTATTCAAAAGCAAAAGCTCACCATAGCTCATTTATGTAAGAAATCTGACTGTGGCTCATTCACATAAGAAAGCATGCATTTATTTAAGCCTTGCAAATGCAGAACTTGTACCATTTCTTTTGGCCCTAAATATGCACCATTTTTACGCTGCATACATTGTGTCAAAGTGATGGAAATCTGAATTTTAGAATCCTAAGAAGCAATATGTGTGCCACAGATCATCTAAATCCCCCAAGTTTGCATTTTTTTAAAAGTAAGCTGTTATTTGTACTTGTAACTACACATTTTGTGTTACTTCTGCTTTCCTACATGACTTCCTCCTACAGTATATCTGTAAAGATTCTCAGTCATCCCGGTAAGGTTATCAGGAAATTGAGTCATGGCAACTGGACTTCTTTCCTATTAGAATGAAATGTTTCACTACTCATCAGTTTCTTTAGTCTGGGGAGAGTTGGTAGGAGACCCCTGATATATCCTCCACTTCCCCCTGGTCTGAATAGGCTCATTAGATGGACAAAGGACTCGGGGGGGGGAGTGAAAATCCCACTTCTGCAGTCCTTCTCTACCCACTGTCATGAGTCGTTAACAGTGGTCTTTCTGGTGTGTGATCCTGATCTTTTCTTATCAGGGGTCTCCTACCAACTTCCCTCAGAGTGAAGAAAATACTTGGATGAGTAGTGAAACATTTCAATCTAATAGGAAATATAATAGGAAAGTACTGTAGTGAAACATTTCAATCTAATAGGAAAGTTGGCATGACTCAACTTCCAGATTCCTCCTACAATGTTTTTTAGTCTCTTGCATCAGATAATTTAACAGAGCGACTTTTGCCTCAACAGTTTCAAGTTTTGACAAAAAAGGGCATCTAGTAATTTAACAACATTGTAAAGTCCAGGTAGCCCAAAAGCTTTCATAGAAGTGCTGTTCAGGGGTCCACCTGAAAAATTTTAGAGTGAGAAGTCCATGAGAGTTTTCCACTGAAACCTACTTTTCCACTTCTTTTTAAAGGAGTTACTCCCAACAATGCCTGTGAAGGCAAAAGTTTGATGTCAGAAACAGACTTAGTTGCTATAAGAAAAGCTGCAGCAAAATCAGTAGCTAAACAATCATAAAGGACGGAATGTATATAAAATGGAACACACCACAGGTCAGAAATAAGTAAACTCATTATCCTAAGTTAGAGTATCCTTCATTTTTAATTTTCAAAAGGATCTTGTCCAAATGTTAAACTTTCTGTTCAGGATATAACATAGGGAGCTTCTTCAGAATAATCATAATTAGAGATATTCCCCCCCCCACAGATGCAGATAACGAAGATCCAGCCCCCTGGGGCCAGACCAACCATTCTTAATTCCGCCGCTACCGCAAGCTCTGCAGTCCCTTCCTATCGCTCTGTGGCTCATGATGGATTAGCCACTCCTGGCAGAAGGCAGGATGACGAGCCTCTCTGCCAGGTCACAGAGTGGCTAATCCATCATGAGCAAAAGAGAGATAGAAAGGTACCTCAGAGCTTGCGGCAGTAGCAGAATCGTGAGTGGTCAGTCTGGCCCCAGGGGGCTGGATCCTTGTTATCTGCACCTGTGGGGGGATATTCGTATACAAATACCAATACCCCCATCTCTAATCATAATACTGTAATAACATTCTGTTATTTTATCCACCTAACAATATTGACTGCCTTGCAGATTTAGGGCTATGTTCAATCTGATCAGTATTCTGTATCTAACTGTACCCATCCAGATGTATCCAAAAAAGTCAACAAGTAAGGCACAGCCATTGGGGGGGGATTTTTCATATTCAATGATACAATAAATCTATAAATGACTGTTCCATTAATCTAAAAGCAGACCTGCACTCTGCAACTATTTGATAAACAGGATCTAGTGGCCAGTGCAACATTTTATAATCTGATAAACCAAGTCACACAACCAATCTTTAGATAAACATGCTTAAAGCAATCACACTTGCATCTATTTTAAAACAGTGAACTGCTCTCCAAGTGTACAGAACTCTTCAGAAAATGTGGTGTATCTAGATCACTTCCTGCACAATTCCAATTTAACAATGCTTCTACTAGAAAGTTAGCTTTTAGTAATGTATTGTCAGTAGAATTTGTTACATTTATATTCCGAGGAAGAACAAGCTTGCAATTTTTTGAGCAAACAGGTAGAAAATCAATAGTAATCAGCATGGGCAAAATCTTAGGACTCAGTTTTATTTGCACACTATCATTTGCATTATAGGTTAACATCCAAATACGATACGATTCTGACCAGAAAACGCTCAAAACTGAACCAACATATACAAGTTATTGGGGTAGGGGAAGTGATGGAAGAACGTGCGGGCATGTTTCATTTAACCACGTGATAGTAAGTACTTACTAATTTGTTTTCCTGCATATATATTCTCTGTAACTTCAGGCATCCTTTAGCTATAATTATCATTCCTTCATCAGAGATCTTGTAACACTGCCCGAAATGTATATCTTTCAGTTCTCTGCATTCTGAACCCAGCTGCAAATAAATTTTCACATGAGTTTAGCATCCTAATAACGTATGCCTGCTTTAAAACTAAACCACACCACAGTATTTAGACTTTAACTACAGTGGACCCTCGACTTATGGAATTAATCCATATTGGAATGGTGGCCGCAGGTCAAAAATTCCGTAGGTCCTTTTCCCATAGGAATGCACTGAAAACCATTTAATCTGTTTCAGCCAAAGGAAAAAAAATCCTGGGCTTCCAAAGCTGCACCCGCTGCCCTCTGCCTTCTGTCCCCGGTGCCTTCTGCCTCGTCCCCACCGGGACAGGAGGCAGAGGGCACCGGGGACAGGAGACAAGAGGGCAGCGGGGATGGCTTTGAATTTCCCGCCCTTTCCCCCTGCGTTTCATAGGTCGAAGCTCAGGCCGCAAGTCGAACTAAAATTTTGCGGTCGGAGCTTTTCGTATCTCAAAATTTTTGTAAGTAGGGACTTTCGTAAGTAGAGGGTCCACTGTACTTACATGAAAGTACATTCAACTGACCTCAATGAAATTTACATTTGAATACACAAGTACAGGAATCCACCATATACAATAACAACATACACCTGTATTTTTTTAAAAAAAACTTCACTGAGAAATTTAAAGGTTACCTGTTTGAGTCCCTCATCTGTGAGTCGATCTTGGTTTCCTACATGTACTTTCTGCAACTGAGGACATTGTGAGGCCACTGCAATTATAGATGTGTCAGAAAGCTGTTTACACCTGTAGGCTGTATATCTTAAAAGTCCAGGACATTTAGATGCTAGTATACACACGCCTGTGTCAGATACATTACGGCAATCAGAAATATTGATTTCAGTTATATTCTGGCTTCTTGATGCTATTCTTTCCAGTAAGTCATCAGTGACCTGTTAAACAACATAAAGTATTCAACATTAATATTCTCATATCTTGTTCACATTTTTGAAAAGTACATAAACAAACCCAAGTAGAAGAATGAATGAGATCTATATACTTACAACTTCCATACTGAACAGAAGCTCCAGAAGCAAATCAAGATTTTGGTATCTTCCTGGAGACACTGAGCAGCCCCACTACTGCTAATAATCCTAACTGCCATACTAAGTTGACCCAATAGATATAGGATCAGTCCAGTATGCTTTTTGGTTCTCCCTCCTGTCTTTTCATCCCACTTCTGATTTTTTTTAATTAGCTTAAGATCCACAAACCTAGTGCTAGCACAAAGCCTCTAACTTTCTTTGGTCAATTAAAAATTCCACACAACTCATGAACTGAGCCGGGTGTTGCACTCAATGGTTAAAACCAACAACTTGAGCAGGGGCAATAGAGAGTGTAGGCCCAACTATTACCTCTACCAGCAGACAACAAATGAACTCTTTTGGCAAGATCAATTTATTTCATTTTTTTAAACACAGTTTTCATACCTGTTGACGACTACTGAGATCCAATTGCTTCCAAAACTGGAAATCTAAACAGAGGTCACGCCAGTATTTACAAACCAATGATGCTGAAAGACATCGCTCGTTCAATGACAAATTGGAAAATATCTATGAAAAAAAACCAGTTAAGACAAAGTCAAGTGTCTCAAAGTTCATCCCAATTTAATGTTCCCTAAAATACTGATTCTTCTTTTAAGCATCAGACAAAAGGGTGTCCCCTTTAATGCTGCAGCTCTCACAAATACCCCATCAGTTTCTGTGCTTTATTACGTGTTTTCCACAGGAATATGCAGTTAACAAAACAACAACAGAGACCTCATACACTAATTAGTCCATCAGTCCCACACATATCACTACCCTAAGTGTGAGGCTTAAACCCCTGGTCAATGAAAAGCTGTCCTGGAGCAATTCTGCCTCACAGAGGAGTCTGTCAGCAAATTCTGTTGTCACACATGCTGTTCTGTCATCCCATTTTCCTACAAGGCAGCAACTGAGGGGTTAGACAATTTTCCTTAGAGAGCCAGATACAAGTTTAATTTGTTTCAGAGAAGGTCTGCAGCATGTGTGAGAAAAACCATATAAAGCTGCTACATAAAACATTATACGCTTCCATTTCTCAGTGTGCATACTTCACCTATTGGGATGACAGGACTAAAAACTCTTATGTTCATTGGAATGAAAGAAGTGCAAATCACCAAATTTCCTGACTATCTCCTTCTTATCAGTCCAGTATAACACAATAACAGTAGACAACATTTTTAAAAAGTATACCCTTTGCCTGTTCTTTTTTCTACATGACCAAAGCAGCTAAAAATAGAACCATCTGTAAACTATGTGCGGTTTGCTGGTGCTGGAATGTGCATTAGCCTTCCTCATCATGTTAAGATTTACTAAGAGCCAGGGGTGGCAAATGTTTGAAACTGCCTATTTAATAAAAATTGTGGCTAAGTTTGCTTCCACTGAAGACTCCCCCCCCCGTCTAAGAAGGGATCTAGAATTCTATACATGATTTCACTCACCTAAAATCTTGTACAGTACTCTACTTCCATCGCTATGCCAAAAAAGAATTAAAACTGAAATACGATTTCATCCCCACCACTATCTGATTTTGGAAACTATTCAATTAACACAATATTCAACACAGCACCCAAAAAGTGTGCACAGTTGCCTTCTTACAGACTCTTGAGAGGACAAGTAGAGAAAGGGGAAGAAAATGACAGACTGACCCAGCCAAGGCAGTCACAGGTGTCAAGAAACAGGTGGTGTCTTGACCGGCAAGGCAGAAAACCTAAGAGCCCTGCTGGATCAGGCCAAGGGCCCATCTAGTCCAGCTTCTTGTAACTCCCAGTGGCCCCACCAGATGCCTCTGGGAGCACAGGAGAGACCTAGATCCCTGTCTCCCGACACCCCTCCCCTGCATCTGGGGATACCTCTGGTTTGCGGTTGCTTAACAGTACACCCACCCCACCCATTTACCGGTCAGAGCCCCACAAACCCACCTTGAGAAGAATGGAGGGGGGCAGCTGATTTATGTCCGGGGAAGGAGGCGGCGGCTCCCGGCAGCAATCGCCGGGATTTTCGGGGGGCTCCTCGCAGTCCGGTTCGCGGGGCTCCCGCTTCTCCCTGCCGCCAAGTTCCGGGAACGGCGAGGGCGAGTCCGTCGCGACCAGCTCCCTCCCGTCCCCATTCTCCCCCGCGGGGTCCTTCGGGGAGCCTCCCCGGGGCGTCTCGGAGCCGCAGGGCAGAGGGCAGAGGTGCGGCTCGGGCAAAGAGTCCCGCGCGCAGCCCGCGGCCTCGGGCGGCGGCGAAGGACTAGAGGCAGCGCCGGTCGCT